CTAAAAACAATAGTAAGAGAAAGCTCAATTGTAAAAATGAGCAAAAGACAAACAGGCTCATCCGGGTAGAAGACACCCTAATGGGCAAAAAGCGCACGACAAGGTGCTTCCCCTCAGCGACTGCAGGGGACTGCGCCCGAACCACAGGGAGATGCTGCTACACGCCCGAAAGTGGTGAAAACTTAAAAGTTTACTGTGTGTTGGTGAAAACTGCGCAGCTGGGATCCCGTACACTGCTGGTTGGAACGTAACTGCTAAGGCTGAAACCAAAGGCGAATGCGGTTGTATGCTCTGACCCAGAAGTTCCATTCCTAGCACGTAGCTAATGGACATGCACCCTTAGGTGCACCTAAACGTTATTGATACAAGAGTGAGCGTACCAGCATTATTTATAACTAAAAACAACCTGAGTGCCTAGCAAGAACAGAATGTATACTATGTTGTAACACAGTCATACCATGGAATACTATGTAGTGGTGAAAATAATATACTACTGCTGTGTATGACAATGCAGATAGGACAATGGTGGGAACAAAAGGGATCAAGCACTGCATATTGTGTGAGTCAATTATTTCAATTCAAAAAGAGGCAGTACTATTGCATGGCACCAGAATGGTGACCTTTGGAGGAGGTAATTACGGGCAGGAGATATAAGGGAGGCTTCTGGAACGCTAGTAAAATTCTTTATCTTATAGGAATTACACAGGAGCTTTCACTTGGCAAAATTCACTGTTATACCCTCAACATTTGTGCACTTTGCTATATTTATATTGAATGTTATATTTATTAAAGTTTTTTTAATGGTAGAAGTGGGATCTAAGGTGATTTTAACAAAACTACTCTTTATAAAGATGAGGGTCTCATATGGATAGACCTTGAGGGCATTATGCTAAATGAAGTAAAGAAATCTAAAACCAAAACAAAAACCACCTACAACATCACACTGATAGAAACACAGATACCTGTGGTCACCAGAGGCAGGGGGCGGGGGGCAAACCGGAGGAAGGCAGGCCACACTTTCGGACTTCCCGTCCTAAGAAGAGTAAGTACTGGGGAGGTCGTACCCCACAGGGCGGCAGTAACGCTGCTGTGTGCTATGCAGGGAAGTTGTTATGAGAGGCCGTCCTAAGGATTCACATCGGAAGGAGTTCACTGAGTAACTACATGCACTCCATTTCACGAGTGCCTGAAACACACGCCCAGACACAACAACGGAAAGCCAGGAAAAGCCTTCAGCGTCACGTCGCGCTCCCTGAGAGTTCCAGTAATGAGAGACGGAGCTAAAACTGGACATAGGAATACATCTGCTGTATTTTAGGAATTTTTTCAAAAACAACACTTAGAATCATAGCAAACTGAAATTGGAATAATCTTATCAGATCCTCATACTCTTAATGAGCAGGAAATCCAAGCAGTGATTTTCCCCAAATCTTAGATCTTCTCAGGGGAAGAATGAAAACCAGAAATAAATCTCCCAACACTCAGTCCTTTAAACTACGCTAACCTGTCTCCAATAGAAAACAGATTTCACATCATATGTAAATTAGAAAAGTGCTGAAGACACCTGGAGTAGGGTAGCGTATTTTTTCTTCCTTTCAAGGACACGTTATGAAAGACAGGAGGGAGGGAAGGAGAGAGAGAGGGGGCCCAAACCTTCACATTTTCAGAATCCTGTGAATCTATTATAATTTCAGTTCAACGTCTATGCATACATTTATGGCAACAGGAGAATCTCTGAGCAGTTTCCATTACCTCCAACCGTGAAAATGGTATTAAAAGGCAAAAGCTGAAGTTGACAGGGCCAACGAAACAGGACAGCAAGGTCCTAGCAGTGTCCCCTCTACCCTGACCGTCTCGGTCCTCTCTCGTCTCGCCAGAGCCACAGAGAGCTTCAACTGCCAAGTTGGTCCCTTGTATCCCTGAACCAGAGCTGACTTCAACACTTGTTGTAATCGAAATTCTCTTAATTCCCATCTCAATGTAAGAGCAGAGCATCCTGTATTTCGAATATGGGCCCCCCTGGACGAGGAGTTGTCAGAAATAAGTGAGGCCAGTAGGTGGGAAAGTACTCTCTAAGTGTGAGATTATTATACGGCACATAAAGGTACTGTATTAATAAAAGGCCTGTAAGTGTGTTGCTCATGTGAATAAGATGCACTATTCTTAGTGATGGATCATTAAATGCTAATCCTTTACAATCGGGAGTAAGACAAGGATGTCTGCTTTCACTACTTCATTTTAACACTATCCTGGAGCTTCAGCTAGTGTGGTAAGACAAGAAAAAGAATAAGAAAAAATGGTAAAGCAGCAGCAAAACTGTCCCTATTTAAAGATTATATTACAAAGTAGCTGATTTAAGATCAAGGTATTATTAATGTTTATTCAGTTTTGTGCAAGGTACACAGAATGGAAACTCAGAGCTATATTGCTGAGTGTGTGAAGTATGATGTTGGATATTATTCTAGAAAATAAAATGACAGAACAGGTAGACCACACTCAGTGACCCTGAAGTCACCCCTAGGAGCTTTTGGGGATATGGGGCGCTCATAAAATGAAAGACCATGGTTCAAATTGAATATAAAAAGCAAAGGCTAGAGGATGTACAAACCTGAGAATAATATTCAATTCTGAAATAAATAGAGTCCTATGGTAGCTACATTACCAAATTGTTATGAGAATTCAATAAAATAAATATGTAAAGTTTAAAAAATAAAAAATAAGAAAATAAATTACTTGTAAATGTGATGTACAACTTGGGAGTTACCACCGCCACCTGAGGGTCTCTGTATGAGCACGTGACTACTAAATCATAGCAGATCAAAAGGGGGAGAAACTGTCCATTATAGACGAAGTGGTCCACATGGTGGGGCCCACGCAAACTCTGGTTTCTCCAACATTTTCTGATATATTCATCTCTACTCTCCTTCATTATCAAGACTTGTTGTAAACTTACATTTAGGTAATTCATAATTTAGTACCATATTACAAGCTCTAGCAATTCATATTTACCATCTTGAGTTTTAAAATGTTTTTAATATGATTCTTTTGTTTTCTGCAACTTTCACAAAATTTAGTACAATTTATTCAGCAATTAAGGTGTCTTAGAGGTACATTTTTATAATATTCATTACTCAGAGCTTTAAAACTTTGTGTTGTGAAATATACACTGATAATCTAAAATGGCTACATGAGCTGTGTGAATTACTAATGGCTATTTTTTAATGAATTCAAGGTTGGATTATTAACCTGCAATTTTATTTATTTTTTAACCTGCAATTTTAAATGCTAGAAGTAGCAAGTACTTAAATGTACCAACTATTTAACTTTTATATTTGTGTTTAGTAATATTTCAGATATTTACCTCTCTAAATATTACATAATGAGGCAAATACTAGTTTTACTATAATGGAGCAAAACTAAGCCCAGGCTGCAGGTGCACAGAACCATCTGTGCAGTTACATGAAAAAAGTATAGAGCGTTGGCCAGAGAAAAACTGATTGGCTGAAAATATATTCAATGCCGGGGGAAAATGCTGTTCCAGTCCCATAAACCATACTCTTCTCAATGAACTTAGAAACTACACAAATTTTGATCTCCTCCTTACACAAGCCAGAAGCTAATTAGCCTATAGAATTGTAAGACTGGTAGAGCATTTTCTAATAATTACTTTTTCCTGTTACAAGCATATAATGAATATATTATACTTTTTTTGCGGTGTTCAATGGTTTTGGCATTTTTTAAACCTAGATGATGTACTGCTTTCCAGAAATGGGTGCACCCTCAGATTTTCAGTTATTTATGCATTTCTAGCTCTGAATGATATGCCCACATACAAGTAAACTTCTGATGACTGGATATGTTTGTGATCCTCTGAATGATCCATCAAGAGAAAAGACAAGACAAGCCAGGCGTGGGCAGAGGGCTGCCCCACACACACGCAAGGAGGGCGGTAATGAAAGCTGAGCCCTTGGCAGAACAAACATCAATCCTGCCTGATGAGCGCATGTGGGTGAGTGCTTTTGTAAGTGCCCTTTAAAAAAAAACAGTAAATATCTAAGGACACTGATATGTGAGCATATTTCTGATTACCTAGTAGCTAATTTTGACTACTCAAATGGCTAAATTTGATAATTCAAGAACCAATGATCTCACTTACAAATTCGCCATGGTATTTGCTTTTTCTCCATATTATTAGAGGACTTTTGTACAGTTCCCTGTCTGTTAACAACCTCTTCTGCAATGGTAGACGAGGACAACGCTGAGTAACACACACACTTTGTATGGCAACGTAAGTACGAGGAAAAGGGTAAACTTTGTTTAATGACTTTGTAATTTTGGATCTCTGGCCTCAATTAGCATTGACAATAATGAGTTAACTTTATATAATGATTTAAAAAGTCTTTCTGCACTTCTGATACAACCTAGAGAAGTCATACTCTGATGAGTCCTCACTAACAGACAAAATCTTTTGCAGCCAAGCAGAGTATATTTACTGAATATCAGGAAAAAGCTTTCCTCCAGGCCTGCTACCATTGAGGGAGAAAAAAGATTTCAAACGGGACGCACGAACTGCACAAAGATGTACAGCGCGGCAAGGCAGAGTATGTCAGCAGCGGCAGAGAACTTGCCACTGTTCAGAAAGGTGCCACACTGCTTCTTTGTCTTGCCTATTGTCAAAAAACTGAGACAAGTGCCACGTCACCTTGTCAGAGGGCAGAGCCCTGGGGGTTCCTCTGAGTCTTTCCTGCACAGCCCGAGGCGGACCTCCCGCTCCCTTCTGCGGGCCGCGGAGCCAGACTGCAGCCATACTGTGCCTCCTCCACAGCCACAAAGTCACCTTCCGGACCCAAGACGGAGGCTCTGGGAGTTTAAGTGTGAAGCAGAGAACATGACACAGCGCAAGTAAGAAACGAGGACAGGAAGAAGTCTAAACACCTGTATGACGGGCTCCTAAAACACAGCCCTGTGCAGGAAGTTAGAAAGCCGCGGGGAGGGCCCACCTTGCAGATCTTATAGAGCGACTCCTGGCCGTCGCCTCCGGTGTCCTTGAAGTGGTCGTGCGCCGGGAAGGTGCGGTGAATGTCTCGGGTGATGACACTCTCCTGGGCGGAGTCCTGGAGGAAGAATGGAAAGTTCTTCTTAATTATGAAAACGAAGATCTGCCCATGGTAAAGAAAATTCAAACAGCACCTAAAAAGTATGCCCCCCATGCCTTCCACCCCAGACCCATCGCCCCATTCACCAGAGAGAAACACCCCCAGTCATTCCTGGGACCCCCATCCATCTTTCTGTCGACGTTTACGTGAGGGGAGGGGAAGGAGGGAAGTGGTACACGCACATCTCCATCCTTTGCTTTCTGAAGCACAAGCAGAAGCAAACTACCTGCCTCTTTCACATAACAGGATACCCTACAGAGTATTCCTTATCAATACTGGTACATGTGTTTCATTCTGAGAGCAGCTATTTAAATGAGGATATGGATATGGATATATCATAATTTATTTAATATCCTGCTAATAATGACTTTTTTTGCATTTTTCTATTTATATTACAAATAATATTTTTATCCATCCATGTTCCTGGTCCCTAGACGTGGAATTGCTAGGTCGAGGGTACGCGCACCTCCGTTTCTGACGAGGCGCTTTCCCTGCGGAGCTGTTCCAACCCGGGCAAACACTGGTTGAAGGCGCGCACCTCCCCACGCTCACCCACCGCCACCCGGTGCCCGACTCTGCAGTGCTGTACAATGTGATAACTGAACCCGCAGACCACAGTAATCTGAAAAGTAAAAACATTACGAACCTTTCCCCATGAGGGGTTAACTGCCCAGTGCACTCCAGAAAATAAAAAGCCTCAAAGCTACTAGGTTAGGATGACACATTTTTTTAAGATAAATCTAGAGGTAGGTTTTTGTTTTTGTTTTTTTCAGATTTTGGATCCAAAAGCTCCAAATTGAGCAAAATTCTAAGCCTTATAGAAATTATTAATGATTCACTTGATTTTATTTCTGTAAAGATGTGTTAGTGTTATTTGTTCAAATATCAAGAAAACAGGATGGGACTGCTTCCAGCAACCCTGATAATGGGAATATTTTGCACAATTTAAGGACACATCAATGACTACTATTGCAAATTAAAAGTACTGTTGAATGTCTTGCTTCTATCAAGATGTGAAAAAATTCCCTCTCTCAGTTACAATCCAGAAAGGAGCAAAATGTTTAATACATGAGTCACTTTAGTGAACGCGCGTTCCCTTCCGCGCCCTGGCTGAGAAGAGCATAGGAGCAGCGGCTGCCGGGCTCGGAGGGAAGCCAGCGCCTCCTCTTGCTGCCTTGTTTCCTTTCGGCTGCTATTTCACGCTGGGTGGTAATTAGATCTTGTGTCATGTAGAGAAAGGACACAAACCAAAAAGTTCCACATTTGCTAGCAAACACTGAACACAGTGCAAGTCAGTCCAGAGCAAATTCTGTTGGCTTACAGGGGTGGAATGCGACAGCTGGAAAAAAATGAATCTTAGAAAATAGCATAAGTGAGGTAAAAGCACACATCGAAAGTATGTATTTATCAAGGTAAGTGCAGTTTCTAATGATAAAGAATATTTTGGAGTGAGGTGGGGGTCTAGAACAAGGCGGACACAAAGGTAGTGTACGAAAAGATACCCTATAAACAACGTACATTCATCTGGCCGGGCCTGGAGAACCAGGAGGGGAGCCGGTGCCCGGCAGAGCGAGCGGTCACTGCCCAGGTATCCTCCAAGCAGAGGGCTCTCTTTCCACACAGAGAGTTTCCACTCACAGACCGTTTGAAAAGATGACCCCTGAAAATGTCACACTGCCACTGCCGGCCCATTTCAGAGGCACCCATGTGCCGAGCGGTTCACATGGTGAGTCTTTTCGCAATTTCCAAGACATTAAGGAGAGAAATCATTGAATTATATTCCCTAGAAACTGCCTACTCATTTGGCATCATGCTGTGTTTAAATGCCGGCAGTCTGGTTCAGTGAAGGGGAAATTGATCAACAATTTCTAGAAAGTAACTTCACATAATACTGAGCCATTTGTCCTATGCATATCTGAATATCTGTCTGTTTCTTTTAAAAGAGGCAAAAATCAAGTGAAATTAACAATCATGAATTTTTCCTTAATAAATGTTCCTTTCCTAGGGCTAATTTTTTTTTAAATCCTCACCTGAGGACTTTTTTTTTTAGAGAAAGAGAGAGAGTGAGGAAAGGAGAGAGAAATGGAAACACCAATAGGTTGCACACTCCCTCTCTGGGATCAACCCCACGCCTAGGCATGTGCCCTCACCACGAATCAACCTGCTACCCTCCAGTTTATGGGACAACGCTCCAACCAACTGGCCACACATGCTTTCACCACACATGCGCTTCATGAGTTTTCTTCCTCACATTAATCTCAGTTGGCTAAGGGAATAATTTCTGGAACTTCATTTTATAGACTAAATAAGCTATTTTGCTACATTGCTCACTGAAAGTGAAGGTCAAGAGGAACATCAGGCTCATAAATAGACTAATATGAATGAAACTGTGTACTAGAAAAAATCATGTTTTTAAGCGAAAGCTAACCCACACTGTTGAGGACAAAAATAGCATATATTTCAGGGATCCACACCTAATCCCCCAAACTCATTCACTCCTCCCCCATTCAACAAACATTCAAGTCACAGAGCCATCAAACCTCATACTCTGTTAAAGAAGGATGATAAAACAACTGTTCTCTTTTGCTAATTCCTTTCATTTTAGTCTTATTTCAATTATATTTATACATTTTTACAAGAAATTAAATGTACAGAGAGCAAAAAAAGAAGCCAAATAATTCACCACCTACATATATGGAGTTAAAAGGTCGCATGTGACCTTCTAACATCTTTATGAACATGGCTAACACAATCTATAGCACAACTAAAACGGATGTGAGGCCACTTTCTTCGAGGCCGCCCGCCATAAGCAGAGTCTCCTGAAGTCTTGCCAAGCGCCTCCAGGAGGAGAGCGAGTTGCTCCTTCGTGGGCAGCGACTTCCCCAACACCCAGACGCTCGCAGCTTGCCCCAGTGCCCCTTCCCAGTGGGGGCACTGCCCAGTCCCACCCTCGGGCCGCGATGGTGGTTCTGTGGCTTTGGAGGCCAACGAGCGCAAGGGTTCTATTCTGGCTGCTCCACTTGTGATACCTACAGAATCTCAGAGAGCTTATTTGATCCCACTAACCACAAGTTTCCTCTCCTGCAAAATGGGATAATAGCAAATTCATGTCATTTGGAATAAAATAATGTGTGTACAGTGCTTAGCACACTGCCTAGTATAAACTGAGTACTCACTAAAGAAATAAATGAAAGTAATAATTATTATTGCCCTTTTCCTTAAGAATGACATTTAACTGTTTATTTTGGTGAACATACATTTTAGACATCTTTGTTTTTGTACACTCTAAATAATGAAAAAGATAGCTTTCTCTCTGGATATCATGAACATTATGATTATGAAACCAATTCCCGTAGAGTTTTCGGCATGAAGACATAATGCATACATGCCCTGCTCTCAATTTCTTATCATGTACCATATGTGTCCCAATTACCCTTGTTTCATTGATCCACGAATAAAAGCAAAAGCAAACAATCACTCGGATGCGCGATGTTCCACCTACTGATGGGCCCTCTGGCCACAGCTCTGCATCCACCCGCGGACAAAGAAAGACGCACACAACGGTGCTCGGGCGGAGGGCGGGGATGCCGGGGTGGAATGGAAGCCGAATTTGCCAGAGCAGCTGCCACTTCAAGCACCGTTACTTTAGAGTTTAGCTTCAGAGGATCATGGGATTAAAGTCATGGTTGTGGAGAGGACAAATGCCACCGTCACCACCCAGAATGCAACGGGTAGGCAAAGTCTTTGGCACTGTCCTCTGTTCTTCCCAAAGAGGGGGTCGCGTTGGGCCACACACAAAAGCTGACTCAGATCGGAAATTGGGGCTGGAGGGGCGGGGCTTGGAAGAAAGCCTTACAGGCTGAGCTTCATCCCCCCCGCCCCGCGCCTCTGACGCTGCCGCCACATCAATTTCTTCGTAGGCGACCTTCCAAGGATTTTTTAAAATTCCCAACAACTAAGTCCTAATACTAAACATCTTCAAAAAAGACGTTGATCTCCAGTGTGAAAAAAAATCCATGATCCAACAGAGGATATAAATCAGCTTGTCGAAAATCAGTCTAAAACCAACTCTTAAGAGGTATGATAAGCTGCTCAATTCATTTTTGATCATTGTAAGTGGATCCATTTACAACTGCTATCAAGAGTATTACATGAGCTGTTCCCCCGGCAAAACGTTCATGCCCGGACAGCCTGTGACCCTCTTAATTCCCGTTCGAGGGGAATCATCACCTACACACTGGCGAGCCAGCGATGACATGGCATGCAAGTGTCATCAAGCATTAGGAAGACAGGCGTGGGCGATCACAGCCTATTATTTCTTATAAAACAATTTCGGGGCTGTCAACAGCTGGAAAGGTATTTTAGTGAGGATGACTATTCTCATGTGAGACCTTGCATCAGGCGAAGTATAAAAATAATGTCCTGATAAATGGACACCTTGACTGGATCTTGATTTGCTACATTTTACAATGACAGCATCTTTTAAAAAATTAATCCCTATTGTCAAATCAAAAGAACTGCATTTGCACTTTTCCTCTGCTACAAAATCATTTCAGCTTTAGAAGTCCCATGCCGTCTTGTCTGTATCCTTAAAAATGTCAATGCAGACCATGCCTAGTAGCTACAGTCTGTCAGCAGATAAATGATTCAGAGCTTAAAAAATCCGACCTTAGAACGTGCTTTCTCTTCTTTCTCCACAGGGACCCTCCTTTAGTTCCATGCTGGAGTGAGGTCTATGGGAAAACATCACAAACTGGCTGGCTTGCCTGGCCACGAAAGCAGATGGGTTTGCAGTGGTGGGTCTGATTTATTTGTCTTGATGTTTGCCAGAAATCCAAAGAGGCAGAGATGAAAGGAGAAAATGTAAAAGTGTGTCTAGTTTCAAATGTGTTACTAAAATGAGGAGTTGGAAACAGTAACACAGAAAGGTTGGCTCACTGCCCATTTTCCTGCCTTGA